TAACCTAGACACGTACCTTCTCCATGAAGGTGGTTCTTCAGAATCTGAATATTGGGCACCCATGTAATCCATGAAGTCTCGGTGCAGACCTCTCCGGAGCTCTACATGCTCCTCCACTGCAGCCTGTACAGTCACAGGGAGAATGGCTTCCAGGGCGTCTCCCCAGGTATTGCACAAGGTTCTCCTGGTTTCCAGCTCCTGAATGGCTCCCGTGTCCCCACTCAGCTCGACCTCTGAGTCATCAGGCATCGGTACTCTCGTGTTCTCCGCTTGTTCATCAGCTGCTCCTCCGCTGACTCTGGACTTTTCTGGCTCTCAAGAGCAGGGCCAAGAGCGCCCTGCCATGTGGCATGTTTTCCCGGGGTTTCTCCATGTGGGGATGGTTCATGCACATCCCTGGGTGAGCCGATTGTGTCGGTGCTTCTCTGTGGCCTGATGGTTCTTGACCGCGCGGCTTCCCGGGTGCCTGTGCAAGCTGGGGTTTGAACTCAGGCCTGAAGCTAAAGCTTGTCCTGCCTCCCTCACAGGCCTGGTGACAGATGCAAATACCAGGGGAAGGAGGCAGCAGTCAGAGAAGGGCTGTGTGGGGATTTTGGTGTCTCGGGTGTCAACTGAGGTGATGGAAATCGGGGTTTCTTCCTGGGGTGACAGGTGCTCCTGCCCTGGCCCCTTGGCTCTATGGCCCTCCTCCTCTATGGCTCCTGAGTGGTCCCCCCAACACCCACTGCACCCATAGGCCAGCCCTGCTCCCTCACAGCTCCGCCTCCCTCTGCCTTGTCTAGACCTGCAGGCCCTGCGCACGGCCCAGGCGGCACTGGGAAAGGGCTGCCTGGCCAGCTCCTTCATCTGCGTGTACCTGTTCACGGGCGAGCTGTACCCCACAGAGATCAGGTGCGCGTCTGGGCGCCGGGTGGGGCCAGCCCTGCCCTGTGCGCCCAGCCCGGGCTGCTGACTGTCCCCTCCCACAGGCAGATGGGCATGGGCTTTGCCTCCGTCCACGCCCGCCTCGGAGGCCTGGCGGCGCCCCTGGTCACCACACTCGGGGAGCTCAGCCCCGTCCTGCCGTCAGTGGGCTTCGGCGCCACCTCAGTCCTGGCCGGGCTGGCTGTCCTCTGCTTCCTGACAGAGACACGCAACCTGCCCCTGGTGGAAACCATCGCGGCCTTGGAGAGGAGGTGAGGACTAGATGGCTGCGGGGAGCAGGAAACAGCTGGGGTGGGCATGGAAAACGGGCAGGCTGCCCGCCTCCTTCTGCGCAGGCTCAGCAGAACAGAGCGGTGGCGCACATCTATAATCTCAGTGATCTGGGAAGCTGAAGCAGGAGGATCCCAAGCATGAACATGGCCAACTTAGTGATTTAGGGAACTCTTGTCTTAAAATAAAAAATGAAAAGGAACTGGAACGGGCTGGGGATATGGCTCATTGGTAAGGTTCAACATCCTATAGAGCAAGAGGAGGAGGATCTCAGGCGCGGTGGTTTTTGCATCTCCTCCTCAGGCTCAGCTGGACCGTCAGATGCTCCTTGGCTAATGTGGTGCCCACAGTTCCACAAGCTTTTGTCACTGGAAAGAACAAAAGTTCACTCTATAAATCCCTTATAAGACGAAAGGCATGGTGCAGGAGAGGGAAGAAAACACAGGTGGACGTTGGGGAGCTGGGTCACCGCCCAGCATTCTCCCTTAGTCTCTGTCTCTGATCAAAGCCATCGAAATAAATGGAGGTTTGCTGGGGAAATAGCTCAGCGACACAGCAC